GGTGGGTGCAGGGTGTGTTTGGTGCTGGGGGTGGCGCCAGCATGAATGCAGCGGGCAGCGTGGTTGGTGTCAATGCTCGAATGCAGCCCTCCCAACCCGTGCCACCAACGCCTTACTCCCCCGTTCCCCCCCCCCCCTCCACACACACCCTCCCCTTCAGAACTTCCGGGGGCGGTACCTGGTGGGGCAGGATGTGGTGGCGGCGCTGCGTGCCGAGCTGGCGGCGGAGGGCCTGCCGGGGGCGGTGGTGCCGGCGGTGATGAACGACACCGTGGCCACGCTGGTGGGCTGGCAGGGGTGGTGGTGGTGTGTGTGGGAGGGGGATGCATGGGTGGGGTGGTGGGTGGGGTCGTGGTGGGCACATGCGCGCCCGGTGCTTCTTGTGCTCCTTGCGCTTATGCAGCCTGTGCCCTGGGGCTGGTGCACAGGCCGGCCAGCACTCCACCGCTCCAGGCCCAGCCCCACCCGCCCAGGCCCGCTCCGTGGTACCGCAGGTGGCGCTGCGGTACCGCGAGCCCGACACCCAGCTGGGCATCATCCTGGGCACCGGCACCAACTGCGCCTACCTGGAGCGCTCGGCGGCCGTCGGGAAGCTGCCCGCCGGCTTTGCGGGGCGCGGCGCCGCCATGGTGGTCAACAGCGAGTGGGCCGACATGCGCTGCGCCGCGCTGCCCGGGTGCCTGGAGGACCTGTGGGTGGACTGCAGCAGCACGCACCCGGGTGGGTGGCCGCGCGGCACGCCTCGCAACGCTGCAAGTCAACTGCAACTATAATCTCTTGACAGAAACGCCACGCCGCTCTCGGTTCCCAAGCTCTGCTGCGCGCCGCCGCACTGCGTCACTGGGTGTGGGGAGCGGGGCAGGCGCCTGCTGCTTGCCGCGTTGAGCGCAGGTGCTGGCGGCCGGCCCTGGCCGTGTGCTGGCCCCCCCTTGCGACATCGCCCTGCCGCCACCTCGCCGCCGCCTGCCCGCAGGCAGCGGCCTGTTTGAGAAGCAGGTGTCGGGGCTGTACCTTGGTGAGGTGGCCCGCCGCATACTGCTCAGGTGAGCGCGGCACAGCACTCAGCAGCACTCAGCGGCACCCAGCGGCACGCAGCAGCACTCGGCTGGCTGCTGCTGCTGCCGGCCAGCGCACACAGCGTGGGTGTGCGCCTGCCCCGGGTGATGATGCCATCCCTGTGGCGCATTGGCAGCACAGTGGCCACATGCTGCCACCCCCCCGCCCCCGCCCTGACCTCCGCGCCGGGCTGGCCTGCCTTGCAGGCTGGCCGAGAAGGAGGGCCTGTTGGAGGCGCGGTGCCGGGGCTGCTGGCGAGG